CATCTGTTACTGAGCAGGTCACATATTTAAAGTATGATGCCTCAAAATGACACCTCCATATGCAGCCAGGTAAGTGTTAAAACTGAGCTTTCATGTATAAGTCCTGCTGAAAAAAAAAGTTTGAATTCTGGCTTATACTACTCAGCATCTAGCAACAATATTCAACTTAGTTGAACAGGTTGGTTGACCAATGAAGTCTTAAAAACTATGTTGGGGACAACAGCACAGTAGTATCCTAAGCTGAGGACCTGTCCAAAACACAAGGGTGCATTGGTGAAAAGCTACACAGTATTCTCTTAAAAAATTATAAAGCTGCACAGGGCAAAGAGCTCTTACAGCAACAATAAAATATGCACCCAACTACTATCTATATGTAGACAAAACTTCCATTGCTCTGTCAAGATGAGAACTGCATTCTGAAGGCACTGTTATGGTCAGCCAATTTTCAGCAACCACAGTCTGTGGAAAAATATGACAATCAGAGAGGTCAGGACTTCACTTTGAAGCCAGAGGAAAGATATCAAGATTGTGTCGAGTGTATTATGAGGCTGAGCGGGAGAAGCTATCAAGGATGCCCGATATATGCTTCACTCCAGCAGGTACACTCTGTTCTCACTGTGGGGAGGAAGATGAAGCTGTCATTATAGCTCAAACAGGACTCCCTATCAATGTATTGCTCACTTTTAAGGAAGCGTTCACTATGACAGCCATTTGAAGCCACACAAAGTCCTTCATTTTCAATGACATTTGGCAATTCCCAGAAACATGAGCAACTGTTGCAGATTCAAAAAGGTTGAAAAATTGACACTATCAAGTTTGGAATAATTAAGACTTTGTTTTTCTAACTTTTCTAAAGAAGTCTCTTCTGCTCACCAAGGCTGCATTTATTTGGTCAAAAATACAGTAAAAACAGTAATATTGTAAAATAATATTACAATTTAAAATAATGTTTTCTATTTGATTAAAAGTAATTTATTCCTGTGATGTACAGCAATGCTGAATTTTCAGCATAATTACTCCAGTCTTCAGTGTCACATGATCCGTCAGAAATCATTCTAAAATGCTGATTTGGTAAGAAACATTCCCTTTTTTCTTCTTCTTTTTTTATATGACTCTTTTGATTCAGTTGCATTTTTTAAGTAAGCTTTTTTAAAGTAAGCTTTTTTAAAAAAGAAAAAAAGAAATTAAAATGTATTCAACAAGGACACATTAATTAGATCAAAAGTGACAGTCAAGACATTTATATTCTTACAAAAGTCTTATATTTTCAATAGGGCTGCAACTAACGATTATTTTGATAATCGATTAGTTGGTCGATTATTTTTCTTCTTCTTCGAAAACTCATAGGTAAGAGTAATGTTCTGGAACACACGTTAATTTGACCACAGTCACGTCATAGCCCGATTCGGACGGTAATTTTTTCTCATATGGATGTCTGTAAAAATAAATTTACTTATCACCTCAGTGATAAAACTCATGGATTCGAAGTTGGACAAGTATGTAAACTCCGTTGGACGTGCACTGTGGGCAGACCCGATTAATCGATAATGAGAATCGTTGTCGATGATTTTCATAATCGATAATAATTGATTTTATCGATTAGTTGTTGCAGCCCTAATTTTCAATTAATACTGTTCTTTTCAATGTTCTATTCAAAGACTTCTGGGGGGAAAAGTATCAAGTTTTCCACTAAAAAAAATAATAATATTTTGAACATTGATAAAAATAGGAAACATTATTAATAACTGAGCACAAATAATAATTGATAAAAAAAAGGAGCAGCAAATCCGTATATTAGAATGATTTCTAAAGGATCATTCAGAAATTCAGCTTTGCCATCACAAGAATAAATTACATTTTAAAATATTTCGATTGTGGCGATTGACAATGAAAAACCATGATAAAGAACTTATGTTAATTCAACACAGTACAACGCTACATTGTTGTCACATGACCTCATTACTTGCTTTTTTTACAAGTTTGAATAAAAATTCTTAATTCTTGGAGGTATTTTAAAATATGTGTCCAAAAAAATGTGTTAAATAGTCACAGCTGATATTACTTGTTGTGGTTCATTTGTCTTTCTGGAAATACAAACTAAATTTGAGTGCACTGCATTGCGGGAAACAGTATTCCATGCAGTGTGGTCTTTGTATACTGCACATTTTGGCAAATGTAAGTGGGTTGTTTGAGTATGTGCATAGAAAATTCATATACTCATATACATGTATTGTGCATAGTATCTCTGGTAAATTGTTTTTTAAAAGGTTCTTTACACATAGTAACAGTTCTATTTAGAACCATATAATCCTGAAGAATCATTTCACACGGTTCTTTATTTCCGCCTTTTTGTTTTTTAAATCTGTAACTGCCAACAAATAATTTCAAAGCCACCTCATTATTGATTTTCTGAATCTCAACCATTCAACACAAGACTGCCAAAATACTCTCAACAGGTACTTGATAACCTTCTTAAAATGTCTAGAAATATTAACTTTCAAATTGTAAATAGATTCGCACCAATCATATCTTTTCACCTTTATGTTTTTATGTATCTTTTTTTTAACAGAATATGTGACCAGTTCTGTTAAGTTGAGGATACTTCTCCACTAATCAAGTAAGTGACATTGAGATACTGAATATATCATCCATATTGAGATCTCATATTATTGCTTGGGCTTATACATAAACATGCCCAATTACAAAAATGTTAAAGCCATTTCATAACTTTTTATTACTTTTTCATTTTAACATTGTGAAAGGCGCACATACTATCCATTCACAAGGGCTACATTTGGCCTTCATAAACTGACTTGCTTTTACTTAAAGAAATAAAAGAGATGCTGTGCAACTCTAAACTCAATTGTGCATTTCTATCCAGACAGATGCTGTCAAACCCAACAACCTCATCATCTCAAAATAGAAAATGTTGCTCAGTTACACAAAAATACTCACATAATCATGGATGTAAACTCATCATAGAGGGCTGTGAAGATATTCACTGAAACTTAATTCATAATTGGTGTTACTAGTTTGTGTTTTATATCTGTATGTACTTACTCATGTTGAATGTCAATTATCATTTGGTAATGTATTAACTAATTACTTGTTAGAGCACTATCATTTATGTTAATAAAAACCCCTAATAGTAATGGAAAATAGTGATGTCTGTCTGTCAGTTCATAGATAGTGCAGAGAAATCTGGCATCAATGCTGAAGATAACACCAACATACTGTGATGTGCATGCTTGCACAAAGTATTTCTGTATCTAATTTGCAACCCTGCAAACCTCTAATGAAAAAGACGTGGATGACAAGTCTATAAATACTTAGAGTTTCTGTCACCTCGCTATGTTCAGTTTTCCACAGTGAACTTACTGCGTAGCAAGTCAACAATCCACATCTGAGAATCTGAGTCACCGTTAAAACCACCGAGCAAAACCAATGAGAAATGGGAATGTATGTAAAATCACATTAATCAATTACGCTCCAGCAGTCCTAAACAGTCAGTGTGTGCTGACATGACTCTTTATTGTAGCTAACGGTAGCTATGTTTTATTTCAGACAAGAAAAGGCCATCTGTTTCAACGTCTGAGGTGCAAAGCCTCCTTCCCTTTGGATAAAGAAGGACAGAAAGAGCCCTCACACAATGCTGCTTGATGCACTTCAGACCTTGGCCTACTGCAAAAATACCAGCAACACGCTCTCATTTTCCTTCATCCTTTATCTCACACCCTCCCAAAGGAGATTATATACTAAGCATGCTTTGAGTTTACATAGCAAAGAGCAGAATGGTCTCTGATAGCCTGAATGGATCGATGACATTTGATTTGCTTTAGTGAGCAAACAGTGATTCGTCAGCAGAATAGCAGAATCCATGTAGACTAGTGTAGAACTACATGAAGAATACAAATGAATGGGCAAGCAGAGGGACTCCAACAGAGAAAAATCAGTTATGATACACTAAAAATATCAGCCACTCGAACCAATCAAATTAGAGGACCGAAACTCACTGTTATATTATACCGGTCTCACAAATTCCAGGTCCAGGTCATATTTAACTCTATAATGAAATGACAAAATTAGAAAATGTATTTTGAATAAAGAAATATATTTTTACTGTAATGCAAATAAATAAATATATCCCTCATTTTCATTTTCAACCAATCAAATCAGAGAACCGAAACTGTTGTGTAATACTGTATATGCAAGATCAATCCAACAAATCCACAAAAAAAAAAATGTCTATTTAAAAATAAATGAATGAATGAACGAATGAATGAATGAAACCCTAATTTTTCAGCATTACATAAATGAGAATTCAGGGGAAATGTGGGGGGATTTTTTTTTTTTTTTTTTTTTTTTAAAGAAATCAATACCTTCAGCTTCATGATTGGTATTCAGCAAGAATGTGTTTAATGTGTGCTTAAATGTTCTGTCATCTTACAATTAAAAAAAATCTTTATGGTCCTAAAGAAGGCTTCATTTCTTTATGCAAACTATAATTATTCCTTATTTTAGTGATTTTGGGATGAAACAGGACCTGAAATATCACATTTCCTCACCATTTCATAAGAACCACCCAGTGCTTAGGCCACAATAGTAAATTTTGGTTGTTTTACACTGAACCATCAAATCTCTGCACGGCCTATTTATTTTTATCTCTGGTACACTATAATTCGCTTACATGTTCCACATAATGTCCTTTATTTCTTCAAGTGATTCAGTGTGTGAGAGGACTCCATCTGCATATTGCATAAATGCTTCATGAGCTTTATCACACGACGCTCTAATCTCCGTTTATCACCTCAGAAGGCTTCAGACATGTGATTCATTTGCTTCTCACCCACTTAGCATTTAACGCTGATCGAGGACATTGTACGTCTACCTCTATATAGAACGGCAAACAAAGTCTACTATTTTTATTTGAAACAGTGATGCGCGTAGATCTGAAAATTGCCTTTCTCTCTGAGACTTTAATCTGCACACACATAACTCACCATCTCATTGTAGTGCTGCCGTAATATACTGAAAACAGATGAAACCCACTGGGAATTGTGGGTAAAGTGAGGTAAGAGGTAGTAGCGCCTAAAGCACCTCTGCCTTCTCGCAGCAGCCTGTCTTTTCATTGCTTTTACCTTAATCTGGTATAAACAGAGACATGAACAAATCTAGCACACTGTGTCTCTGTGTGCCGTCTAGTGCAATCAGAACAATTCACTTTCCATTTATCCACAAACCAGCGAGGGACAGTGAAAAAGTATGTCTCTGAGAAAATTGTGCATGCTTTCAGAGAAGAGCAATCAGTGGTCCATTATCAAGCATAAAAATCTTAAAAGTATGCCATTCACTGAGGGAAAATTACCAGGGAGGGAAATGCCACCCTACTCTCTCCTTTAGCGTGATTGATGATTATGTTTCACTGTGCTTGGAGAGAGTGGTCATAGCTTTGAAAGTCAAGCCATTTTAGGGTTGTGCTGACTCACCGAGAGGACAGACAGGGACAGCAAGTTTGCCCTCTAGATTCTGAATTTTATGTAACATACACACACAGTACGTATGTGTATTTTTTATTTTGTCATCAGCAATGCCCAATGTCATTCCAACATCTTTAAGTGTTGCTTAATGGAATAGTTCACCCAGAGCTGAATATTTGCTGAAAATTTACTCACCCTCAGGCCAGCCGAGATGTTTGTTTTTTCATCAGAACAGATTTGGAGAAATTCAGCATTACATCACTTGCTCACCAGTGGATCCTCTGCAGTGAATGGGTGCCGTCAGAATGAGAGTCCAAACAGCTGATGAAAGCATCACAATAATCCACATGTAATGCACACAACTCCAGACCATCAATTAATGTTTACTGAAGCAAAAAGCTAAAATATGTGTGTTTGTAGCTGAAATTTTCTATCTAAATCTTCTATCTATCTATCTATCTATCTATCTATCTAATCTTCTTGAGTCTTCTATCTATAATATTGCTTTCTACAGTAAAAAAAAAAAAAGTAATCTCGTCTGAATCAGGAGAGAAATATGCACAGATAAAGCACTGTTTATAAGCAAAAACAGTCCAAAACAGTTCTAGACAAATATGTCAGTGTATTTTGGTGTGAGAGGACAACAGGGGACGGAGGAAGCGTTATTGTGGTGGATTATGGTCAGAATCGACGGTTTACAGTAAAAACGCCTTAATGATGGATTTGTTTATTACAAATGCACCGCTATTTGCTTCACAAGATGTTAATTGATGGACTGGAGTCATGCGGATTAGTTGTGGATTATTGTGAAGTTTTTATCAGCTGTTTGGAGTCTCATTCTGACGGCACCCATTCACTGCAGAGGATCCATTGGTGAGCAAGTGATATAATGCTAAATTTCTCCAAATCTGTTCTGAAACAAATTCATCTACATCTTATATGGCCTGAGGGTGAGTACATTTTCAGCAAATATTCAGCTCTGGGTGAACTGTTCCTTGAAGTGTCTAAATGCTTTTTGGGGTCACAGTATGCTTGAAGGTTATTATTGGCTTTCTTTAGGGATTATAATGGCTCTCTGCTCAGGTACGGCACATTTATTAAGACTGTGCTGGGACGAAGACAAAGACACATACAAATAAACCAGCAAAGAAACGGCAGTATAAACAGAAAAGAAAGCAAACAGGGTCTGAAGTGCGACTGACATAAGGGTCACTGAGTTTTATTGAAGGCTATTTTGAAATATCCCTTCAGTGAGCGATGGATTTTATGAGATTATATTTATAATGGTGGAAGGTTATGATGTGCCCTGTTCTCAAACCAAATGAATATCTTCCAGTCTAAATACATACACTACCAGTCAAACGTTTGGAATGTTTCATTGTTTTTGAAAGAAGTATAGTATATTTTGCTCACCAAGGCAAAACCATTAATATTGTGAAATGTTATTACAATCCTTGGTGAGCAGAAGTGATTTCTTTAAAAAAAAAAAATTATAATTAATTAATTATTTAAAACTTTTGACTGGTAGTGTACTCTGCACCTCATAAATATTCAGACTATTAATACGCTTTACCTAATTATAAATCCTACACTGACATTTTTCTCTCAGATGTATTTTTATTCCTAGCAATGAAACTGAAAATTAAAAAGATACTATTTTATGCTACAAAATATTCTTGATTAAACAATTAACTGAAATATGTATTCAGCCCCCATATCCTCCAGATTAAAACTAAATTCTCAAAAAAACTGCATGTGTATCAATTAAAAACCACCATATTTTCTGGCTAAAACTCCCACAGGATATTGGGGTTTACAGTTCATAATGAGTCATTATTCAAGTTGTGAGTTTGAAGGGCATATGTGAAATGAATACTAAAGAGTCATTCTATGAAGTCAGAAATTAAGTAAACCAAATGCATAAGTAAGGACAACAATATCCAAGTGTTTATGTGTCCCAGCGGGCAATTTTATTTAAATTATAAAGAAATGGAAGCTGCATCAAACCACCCAGACGTTGCCTAGAAAATGTTGCCCTATGAAACTCCTTGCACAAACAGCAGGAGACTTGTGAGAGCAGCCACATAAAGGACAATGTTCGCTTTGAGAGTTCAGTATCTGAAAACAGACTAAAGGTGCACCAGTCAACCATATCAGGAAGCCTGTATAACACTGGCCTGTAGAGGAGGGTGGCACAGAAAAAGAAATATGTGAAGCAAATGTGGTGCACTAAATTTAACACTGCTCAAATCTAACACCTACCTTCAGCGAAAGTGGTAGTTTTCATGCCGTGGTGCTGCTTTTCATCAGCACAGACCCGGTGCAGTGTTAAAACAAAAGTATGAATGGATAATACAAAATATAGGTCTGTACTGCCTTAGCTTTGGGAACCAAAAAAGGCACAGAAAGGAACTTTTCAATGTTGGATTTGTAAATCAGTAAAAATAGAGAAGGTCTGAACATTTTTGCAAAGCTAAATCTAGACATTCACTGGTAAAAGAATACCGTTATAAAGGATAAAAATTTAAATTAAGACATCTTCTTGACATCTTATTCAACAACGTCCACTATGTAAATAAGTCAATTTGCATGGAAAGCATCGACATGTGCAATATTTATATAATATAATATAATATAATATAAAATAACATAACATAATATAATATAATATAATATAATATAATATAATATAATATAATATATAATAATTATGTATGTTTGAATAAATCTTTCAGGTTTTCATGAAAACTACCTTATGTGCAATTTAAATGTTTGTAACAAACAAGTAAAGCAATTTAATTTAATAAGTTGGGACTTAATTTTAACATTTAATATTATACCAGTGTACCACATAAGAGGGTTCCCTGTATAGTTTACAGCATTAGTTGGGAAAGTTTTGTTTTCCAAAGGAAAAGTTGACATGTATTTGAAATGATTCATAATAATGATTCATAATTGATCAATAATAAATGTGCATTTCCAGATATAATTGGCACTAGCCATTTTTGTGCTGAGTTTACAGTATGTTGGACTTCTGGACATTTGCAGTACTGAAAATGTCTTATAATTCTTGGCACTTTCATTTATTTTTTATTTGTAAAGAAAGCCTTTTTATGATAAAATGTTGAAATAATTGAGGGAAATAATCATTGCATTAATCAACTAATTGAAAAAAAAAAATACAAAATGTTAGTAGCAGCCCTAAATTCAAAAGTGGCTTGCCTTGCTCTACTTCATCTCAAACTATTTAAAACATTTTATTATGGTTGTAGTTTTAATAACCCCACTTACACTGATGTTGGACGTCAAGATGCTGAAAAAAAAGCTATGTCTCATTTTTAAAGTGCATAACAATTACAACCAGATCAAAAGAATGCGTTTTGACAAGAGATACAGTAAATGGTGCCAACTTGAACTATCCTGCCAAGAAAGGAGGGCCATTAGAGTCATTAATCCTTCAAGAGTGAATCCATTATCCTCATTACCCCATAGCCTGCTCAGAATGATATAGTTTCTCACCCTCACACCCAGCTCCACATTCTCTCCTCCGTAAATCTCCATGCCTTCATCCAGCAGACCGATCTCTGCGAAGTACTCCCTGTCCACCACAAAGCAGCCAATCAGGGCTGGACTCCTAGAGATTTACATTAGAGAATTGCATTAACTGAATATATATTTATTGTAATATCAGCCAAATCAGACAAATAAATGAAGAAATGTATTTAAATAAAACAAACAAAACAAAGCTCAAGATTTATATAATTAAATACATACATACATAAACAAACAGATTTAAATAAAGAGATAAATAAATAAATAAAGTGAAGAGATTTATTTAAATAAATACAAACAAACAAACAAATAAATGATGAAATTTAAATAAAAAATTAACAAGTTTTAAATTAAAGATAAATAAATCATGAGTTATAAATAAAGTGAAGAGATTTATTAAAGTAATTGCAAACAAACAAACAAACAAACACATAAACAAATAAATAACCATTTTTAAATAAATAAATAAATAAAGATATTTAAATAAATAAAAATATTTACAAACACAAACAGATTAATAATTGAAAATAAATAAATAAATAAATAAAGTGAAGAGATTTATTTAAATAAATACAAACAAACAAATAAAGGATGAGATTTAAATAAAAAAAATAAGCTTTAAATAAAAGATAAATAAATCGTGAATTATAAATAAAGTGAAGAGATTTATTTAAATAAATGCAAACAAACAAACAAATAAAAATTTTTAAATAAATAAATGAAGATATTTAAATAAATACAAATATTTACCAACATAAACAAATAAATAAATAAATATTCCCAAATTAATAAATTGAACAAAACACCTGATTGGAGCAGAGCTGTTGTTCAAGTTCCACCAGGATTTTGGTGGGTTCAGATACCGGCACCACAGTTCCCAGTCAAAGCCCTGTGCGGAGAGTGGGTACTCTTCAATCTCAAATGTGTCGTATTTGATATTGTCAAAAGATGGAGATATAATTCTGGTTCTGTCTTCTTTGATCCTTTGGAGAATAGGCTCAGCCCTGTAGAAATAACAATAAAATTGTTTACCACCCAGTGAACATGATTTGTTCCAAACAAAAGGCATTTTTTAAGTATGAAACGTGAGGCTGAACAGGCAATGCATTCTCAACAAGATTAAATAACAAACAGTGCCTATTCAGTCAGCTCATCCACAGTACTATTTTAGGACTGATTCTTCTAGAGAGATGCAAATTGAGCAGTACAGTACGGCTTTAAAATCACATCAAAGCTGATTAAAGGCAGAAAAATTCTGGGTGTTATTCAAATTGCACTGACATATCTGGGTCAGATTGCTATGAGAGAAACCATGGTGTGCCAACTCTAAGATCCAGAACTTCTTTTGATGATGAAGGGCATCTATATGATCTGTGTTTATACAGGACCAGGTTAAAGGAATAGTTCCTCCAAGAATGAACTCGATGTGTTGTGAAGTTTGAAAATGAAGTGTGAATGAAATTTAAAAGTTAGAGATGAAGATTTTGAGTGCATAATGACTTACGTTTCAGTCTGTTCCTCACATTATTAATAAATAAAATGCACCTGTGGCAACATTTCTGCATAATGATATTAAGGTACACATTTCGCGACACTTTGTGAAATGTCCAGTGAGTGGCACTAAAAGATTCATTTCAATCCGAAAAATGATAAATGGGAATCTGGCAATGTTTTATTACGTTGGTTGATGTACATATGGCAGCAGTTTAGAAATATCCAGTGAATTGCACTAAAAGGTTAATGCTCTGTCATATTTGAAAATAACGTAACACCTACACTAAACCCTACCCTAAACCTAACTGATAGTGTTAACAAAAGTAAACATGAGATAAAAGCACACTTGCTAATTCAGCTTGCTTCTACAAGTACTGAGGTCTTTTATGGTGCATAATGTTTCACAGGACTCATACCCAAGCACTCCACTTCACAAGTGCAAAGCTATACCAGGTGCGCTACCGAGCAAGTTTACTATATCAGAAAAGCCATACACAAGGAGCATATTACGTGATGCAGACATTAAAATGTATTAGTTTGCAAATTGTGTATTATGATAAAATAGTTTCAGGCCACAACATAGTATTGTGCAAGGAATCTTGTGAAAATAATCTTTATTAACCAATAATCTTCGCCATAACCATAATTTGTGTGAAAAGGAATTGAAGTTGTTGGTGTTTTACAGCTTCTAGCGTTCATTTCAGGTGGAAACTGCTGTGAATTGGTATAGGTAGGCCTACGTTTTTGGAGTTTTGCATAAAAGGCATGTTTTTCCAGCATATGCTGCACATTAAGCCTTCATATAGATTAAAAAAAACTGAATATAGTACAGAAGTAATTTGAAGTACTTTTAAGATGCATTTTTGTCCTTTTTTGTCTTTTGTACTATGGAAAAACGAAGTGTGTGCATTCTTAAAAAATCCTTTTATGTTTCATGGAGGAAAGAGACTCATATAGGTTTGGAGCAACATGAAGAAAAGAGAAAAATTGAAGCAGTGAACTAGACTTTTTTTTTCTTCAGATCTTTTCAGGGGAAAAAAATGCCCCTCAGTTCCTGTCAGTGCTTGAACAAGTGCACTGATCCTTTAGACCATTTCAGTTGAAAGAAGCAGTAATTACAGTCTGGCTATGAAGCGCTAGGAATAGCCGGAGTTCTCATATCACCCACCAGCCAGTGTTGAACTCTACGTGGGCGTCAAACAGGGCCACCACAGGGGCAGAGGCAGCTCTCCAGCCACTCACACGTGAGCGGATCAGCCCCTCCTGCTTACTGTGCCGCACCATTTTAATGAAACCGGGCTGCTTGGCGTTGGTCTCCTTGACAAAGTCCTGTAATTTCTCCTTTAACTCATCTGGGAGGAAGACAGAGACAAAGAGAGAGAGGAAGAGCTGTAACATTACAATGCCTCCTGGAGAACTGTCCTCATTATTCCTGGTCACAGCAAAGAGGATGTTGTTGTTACTGTGTGTGTGTGTGTGTGTGTGTGTGTGTGTGTGTGTGCGTGCGTGCGTGTGTCAATAAGGACTCTTGGGCCTGTCAATCGTGTTCACTTTAACAGAGAAGCCATACTGAACCAGGATGTGGAACTGCATGCATTGCTTGAGTGAGAAGGTGTGCTCTCACACCAAACAATACAACATTCATGAAGTTCATTCATCACACTTGACCTAGCACCCTTCAGCAGCTTACGAAATATACTGATACTGTATGTACAAAGAAATAGAGCAGTTCAATAGTACTCAAAAGTACAAGCCATGCATTATTTATTTTATTATTAATTTATCATTTTATCATATATATATATATATATATATAGTTTTTATTAGTGTTTAGTAGTATACTGTATATTAATATAGCATAATTATATAGCATATTATCATTTATAATTATAGCATAAATTATAATGATAATAATAATGCTATTTACTCAATTATTAATCATGATTCATATTATTATCATTGTTAAAACTGTTTTTGCTGCTTAATATTTTTGTGATATATTTATGATACTTTTTTGTGATATATTTTTCTTTCTTGCATAGGAAGTTTATTTGCATTTATTTGAAATAGAAATCTTTTGAAACATCATAAACGCCTTTAATGTCACTTTTGATCATTTTAATGCATCTTTGCTAAAGAAAAATACTAATTGGTAACACTTTATTTTAAGGTGTCCTTGTTACATGTTGCATGTACTTACTATTGTAATAACAATAAATTATGCATAATTACATGCAAATAACCCTAAGCCAAACCCTAATCCTAACCCTAACCATATAGTAAGTACATGTAGTTAATTAATATTACTCAGTACTTAAATGTATAATTACACTGTAATAAGCACACAAAATAAAGTGTAACCTAATAATGAATTTACTTATTTATTTTATTTTTTACTTACCCCAGACTCTTGAATGGTGGTGTATCACAGTTATTATATCAATATTAAGCAGCACAACTGTTTGATAATAATAAGAAATATTCCTTGAGCACCAAATCAGCATATTAAGAGTGATTTCTGAAGAATCATGTGACACTGAAGACTCAATTTTAGTATAAATTAAAATATACTAAAATAGAAAACAGTTATTTTAAATTGCAAAAATATTTCACAATATAACCATTCAGATAGAAAACAGATATGTTAAATTGTAATAATATATCACCATATTTTAAAATATTTTTGATCAAACAAATGCAGTCTTGAATGGTTAGTATAAAAGACTTCTTTCCAAAACATAAAAAAAATGAAAAGAAAAAAAAAATATTCCAAACGTTTGACCTGTATTCAGAACAAAAAAGGACATTGCATTAGAAAAATGCAAAATAGATGCATTTTCTCTTGTGGTCTTGATTGTTTATTCCAATTAATTTAACCACCATGTCAACGCCACTAAGATCTACAACACTGATGAAACTTTAACAGTCTGGCAACAAGTCAAAATGAAGGTGCCTCACATGAATATATAATGCAAACCAAGAAGAAGTGTCATTAAGTTTTCATTTGGTTCCGTCATGTGTTATGCTTCACTGTTAAATTGAATTCTTATGATTTATTTTTAATTTCACCTTTTCTCCCTCTTAGAGAAGAAACTGGTGGAAGAGATAGACAGACATGATTCCACCTTCCATACAACATATTCATTACTGTATGTCATAAAAGGCTGGTGTAAAGACTGCAACGTATCAACTTTTAAATGTATTCCTTTAGAGCATTCTTGAGATCTCCATCTGCATGCATTGCAAATTCTCTTTTAGGGAACTGCTACAATGGTATGCCATGTTTGTATGTTGGCAATATCAAGTATATGAATATGGTAATCATTTAATATCATGCTATATGTCAAAGAAGCATGTTAATACATCTGAAAGCATGATTGTATCATGGTACCACCACGGTATTTTTTTTGGTAAGGGTTTGTGCAGTTTATCCATTCGAGGGTCTAATCGTCTTATTCCCTGTTTGCTGGGGCTAAATTGATTTTCTGTTAAGTTTGCATGACAAACATGCTTGATGATTTCGCAGATGGTGTAGCCATGGGACAGGGAGAGAATTAATTCCACCAACTCAATTATCTGTTGCTGTTAAAACAAATAAATGATCACAAAGACTTCAAAAAATAATACTCATCCAGACAAGGCCCAGTGGTACACAAAGGTTTTTAAAAACCTTTTAACAGCGTAATATAGTGAAATGGCTCATCAACTCTTTGAGTAGAAAATTAGTTTGTGCACACGGAAGGTTTTTTTTTTTGTGCTTGGCACAGTCCTCCAAACCCTTCACTAGTGAGTACTCAAAGTATTTTTTTTTCAATGTATGTTTTCCATCCACAGTCAATCCTGCTATGTCTATTTGGCACCATCTTAGTTGCAAACCAGGTACTATTATGAATATTACACTGTAAAAATTATTTTTTAGGGATGCGCCGATACCGATACTGGTATCGGTATCGGGCCCGATACTGAGCTCCTGTACTCGTACTCGTTAAAATGCCCCGATACCAAAAGCCGATACCACACAGCATGTGATAAGTGCCATATTCAGACAATGAAACACCGACAACAGAACAACAGACAGCAGAATGGAGTTATTAGAGATTAAGGATGTCTACGAAGTATATGTATGCAATGGGCGAGTACTGGAAAAAGTGGTATCGGTGCATCCCTATTATTTTTCGAAATAAAGATTGTTGGATTAGAGAACGTTTTACAAGAAAATACTATTTCAGTCTTTTTATTCTTTAAACTCTGTTTAAATTCAATGTGTTACTTGCTGTTTCTTTGTAATTATTTGCTAAATTTATTTAGTGTATGTTTTCCCCTGACAATCAGATTGGTCCTAAAGCCCTTATAAAGCCCTATGATTACAATTTTTTTTTTTTACAGAAAACAGTAAAACCTGTTAATTGATTAACTGTACTGTACGTTACAGTACCTTCCTATATATGGTGAAGAAATGTGAATGTTTTAAAATGACATATTTAAATTCACAGTAAAATACGGTAAAAAATTATGGCTTGCTGTAAAATTATGCAAGTAGAAATTATGAATTCCTTTATAACTTACGGGTATAGTAACATTATATCGGCTAGTGAAATATACAGTTATCAGTTATAAAATATACAATACAGACACTCATATGCCTGTCACACTACGGTGAGATACACCCAGGAAGAAGGCGAAGATAGATGCAAATAGTCTTTAATATTCCACAATAGGGCAAACACAGACTAAGTAGACCGGACAAACACAGACTGCACAGACTAGGGCTTAAATACCTGGGATGGACAATTAACAAAACACACCTGAACCAAATGACACAATCAAACATGAGGGAAAACTAGGTCACACAGAGCACATGGGGGATCAAAACAAAACAAAACATCCAAGGGTGTGACAATGCCAGCCCGTTTTATTGATATTTATTTGTATTGTATTATTTATTTATTTTTAAAGGGGACTTTCTGGCAAACACAGATGCCAATTTACTTTTAAATTATTTAAATTATTTACAATTTAAATTTTAAATTTAATAATAATAAAAAAAACTAGGATTTACTTTGAAACAAATTCTACTCAGAAATTGCTAGTAAATTTCACAAATAATTACAAAGACAATAGCAACATATTAAATTAAACTTAAATTAAATTTTAATTATTTCCCCGTCAGCATTTAAAAAAAAAGTTGCCAACCACCAGCAGCATTTTTGATCATTCTTACAAAAATGTATTAGGGCCAAGAATATTTTGTTGTATGAATGTCATACAATATAACATACAACCATTTTATTCTTAATAATAATTATCTTAATAAAATCTTTTTTTTTTTTTTTTTTTTTTTTAACACTTGGATGTTTTTTT